AGCTGGGGGCGCTGCGCCCTGCTCTGCCCTGCGCTGCCCTGCGCTCTCCTGGAGGTCTTGCTTCGGGTCTTGCGGCCCAGGGCACCCCGGAGCAGCGCCGAGCCGCCCCTCGGGTGGAAGGCCGCCCTGCTGCGGTGGTGAGTCGGTTTAAAGCAGGCAGCGGGAGGGGGAGCAGATAAGAGCCGCCCTGAGGCCTCCGAGGCTGAACCTTCCTGCGGCCTCTTCCACAGCAGCTGCTGTCCTCGAGGTGGGACCTGGAGCTCTGTGGCCCTTGGATCTGACCCACGAGGTGGTTAAGGCTTCTGAGACACATCAGGGGTGGCTATGCTGCAATAATAAAGGGAGTTTTCTGGAGGATGTTGAAAATGATGATATCTAGAAATGTGGCAGGGAATGTTGCTAGTAGGGCATCGTAAAATAGTTAACTTATGGAAGGGATTCAGTGGCTTCTACTGTGAGTCTGAGAAGAGAGAAGCAAGCTGGCATGCTTCACCTGTAGATGAAGTATTTTCCAGTCTGCCCATGGGCTCTGAACAACTCTTACCCTACAGACCTGAGACAGTTAGAATGTAATACATTTTGGGATAACGGGAGTGTTTGCACTGCTTTATGCAAGCAAGAGATGGTCAAACCTGGTGTAACTTTTTTTGTCTTTTTTTTTTTTTTAATTAATATTTGTTAAATCAGGCTGCAACATGAAAATCATGGCTGTGACCTACCCTGGCTAAAGGCACTCTGCAAATGGTAGCCTTTTAGTCTGTTATTGGTGAGTACTTTGCAACTGCATGCTCATGCTAAGCTCCTGCATGGCATTCCCTGCAGTGCTGTCTCTCCATCCACAGAGGTGCCAGGCCTGCCCTGCCTGACCCAGACCTGGCCTCAGCTAGGCTTGTTGTTGTGTCCTGAGTGAATGTGAGAAAAAAACCTCCACAGAAACTCCTGCTATTATAAAATACTGTGTGTGTCCCTCGGCTATATGACTTTTGCTAGCTCATTGAGTGAGTCTTGGTACTCATTTGCTGTGAAACTTTTGTTTCAGACATCAATTCAGATATCTGGAAGACAGCATTTGACAAATTCCCTTTTCCTTGACAACACATCTTTCTCTATTAGTATAGCTTCTCTGTGTGGAAGCCAGAATTTTTGTAGCTCAACTTCTATGGAAACTGCAGACTTCATGCCGTGGCAAGTGTGCAACAGCCTGCACTGCCTTTTGATCAAAAGGCAGAGCAATATTTATCCAGTGCTCTCCTAACGCATACCTCATTCCCTGAGAGAGGGCAGTAAATGAGTTTGTGTTCTTATCTGTAACAAACCCATGATGTTCTTGCAGAAAAGAGCAGCAGAGAAGCTGGTTAATAGATGGACAGTGTGATTCGCAGCAGTTGCTCAGTTTCTTTTTGCCAAAATCACAAAATGCTGTTAGAAAATGAAAATGCAACCACTTGCTACTTGGAAACCTCTGTGGGAAAACAAGCAAGAGTGCTCCCTTTCTTTCTCTCTCTCTTTCTCCCCCGGACAAATCTTATGGCTGTTTTCTGCTCCTACCCACAGTACCTCTTCCACCCATTAACTTCCTTGGGTTTGTTGAGAATTTTGCATGAAGAATGGGGCATAGCACAGGAAGCAGCATTTGTGGGTGGGATTGTGGACTTGAGATTTGCTTACAGATGTATTGTGATGTACTGCTCTTGCTTTCATCGCCTGGTCTTTCTAATGCTGTTCCTGTTGATGCAGGGCTTTTGTACCTGCGGGTAGGAATGCAGAAGGAAATTGTTAATAACGGTTGGTGGCAATTAACTTCTCTTCTTTCATAATAAAGCATAGAGTTTGTAGCTCGGAATCCTACCCTGTGGCATAGGTCGTGCATTTATTGTGTGTACATCTCTCTTGGCTCTTCAGGATCAGTTGCCTTTCTGAATATTAGCCCTGAGGCTGCCATGAGTGACTCGTCCCTGATGTTTATGGCTGGAGCAAACACCGTGGAAGAGCAGAGAGCTCGCTGGGAGAGAAAGCGCAGCCGGACAGCCAAGGAGCTGCTGGAAACCGAACACAAATACCTTGAGCAGCTGGATTTGGTGGTCACAGTGAGTATTTTGGCCCCTTCTGATACGAAGGTACATTTAGGCAGCATGTATTTATTTGTGTTGTCATGGGGAAGGGTCAAGAACAAGACTTTGATACTTTCCTACTGCATGGGACAACTGCTGGGGCTGAAAGGACTTTTTTTATTGGTTTTCTTTTACCTCCTCTGTAATATCTGATAGCTCATGGTTTTGTCGTCTTGGCTTTGGTCTGCACACAGACATACAATCAAAACTTAAAGCTGTATAGGGGATTCACCTTAAGATGCCTGAGATGTATGAAATGTAGGGGCACAGACGAGACATAGATTATGAACAAGGTGGTGAAAAACAAAGGCTATTTGAGTATTCCTAGATACATCTGTCAGTGCTGTAGTGCTGTTCCATGTATTTACAGTTATGGTCAAAGTTACCATGAAGTCTTACATCTGATGAGAGATATCTTAGGTAGGCATTCACAATATTTGATATCCTTTTGAGCTAAAGAGTGTGCAGGCTGCAACTTCTTGCTTCTGCTGTGTTTCACGAATAACCTTTGAGTGACCTGTGAATTCAACCTGTTTGAAATTGTCTCTTTTTTCCTACTTAGTTCTTTGTGACCATTTTGAAGGCCAAAGGGACACTGAAGCCTGCTGTGTTGGAAACTATATTTGGACCCCTGGAATCCATATATTCGGCCAGCCAGTAAGTGAATACACTGATGCGATTCCTGTAATTATATGAGGACCACCCTATATTGATGAGAAAGTAAGATTTCAGGAAATAAAGCTAACACCTTGCAAAACAGGCATTCATTTCTAGCACTGCTAGCCTTAGTGGCACTTGTAGATGTACCCAGGAAACTGCTGATCTGTATCCACATATGCAGATGCCCACTTGCTCTCTAGATAGTGCTTTAAACCCAGTAATTCTGCTCCACAGTACTTTTAGGGGATGTTTTCTGTAGCTCTGTTACCACCATGCATGTATTTGGCACAGAAACTGGATGTGAGGTGGAGACTGACAAAGGAAGGTCAGCATAGGAGTGAACGAGAGGTATCTGTGAAAATGCCATCAGTAAGGTACCCCTCATGAGCTATCTTTCCTCCTTGTGCACAGTGTTCTGTCGCTTCACCTGGAGAGAGGGAATTTGGGATCAGGATTGGAAAATTTCTGTCAGAATCTGGAGCTTTATGGCCACTACGCCGAGAATTTGGAGCAGGCAAATAAAACCTTGAAGGTAAATATCTCCTTTATTCTTCATATTCTTTCTTCCTCTCTCTTTCTCCATTCTGTGAAACAGCTACATCCTTCTGTTTTTCTTCTGTGTCGAGAGTGATAATTTTTCTTCCTTTTTCTGGGCTGCTGCTATTTCCTCAGTCTTTCTTCCATAACAGAATGGTGAAAACTTCTCTACTTATGTAGAGCTTCAAAAATTTGAAGCTTGTTTGAGGTGTTTATATACATATATGCGTTGCTGAGCACAACTTTCTCAAACAGAGTTCTGTATTTACTCCCACTCTTCCTTGGATGGCAAGCCTCGAGAATTTGCAGTGGGAACACTAGGGGACAGTGGTCTCTTTCTGGTAATTTTCTGGTCTCCTAGTCTTTCCCACTAAGACTAACTGTATCCTAACAGTGGGATTTCCTTTTCCTTCCCAATTTTTTTTCTATAGTAGAAGAAAAAAATTTCCTTCCCACTTACTTCTCCAAATATATCCTATCTTCCAAGAAATTTCAGAAGGATATATTTTTTTTTTCAAAGTCTTGACAGCTGTATCTGGAATTTAACCCACCCAACTTCCAGTTTTTGTCCGTGCTTGTTTCCAGCTGCAGGATGTACTGAGATGTTTTCCTTCTGTTCTATTTGCATACATATACCACACTTTTAATTTCCCAAGAGAAAAAAGCCATTTTGGATACTTCCCTTGAGGTGATGGGAATGCAGGGCTACATTGATTTGTCTTGAAACAAGTGGCAAAAGCAATAGGTAGACTCCTTGTTTTCCTATCTGAGTCAACCTTCCTTTTTTTTCTTTATTTCCATTTGCTGAGTATACTAGCTTTATACTGCTGTGCAGTATAAAGCAGGGATGTCAAGGACAACAAGAAGGGCTTTTCCAAATACATCAGCAGCAAAAGGAAGACTAGGGAAAATGTGGGCCTGCTGCTGAATGAGGTAGGTGCCTTGGAGACGGAGTATACAGAGAAGGTAGAGTTACTGAATGCCTTCTTTGCTTCAGCGTTTACTGCTAAGGCTGGCCCTCAGGAAACCCAGACCCTGGAGGCAGGAGAGAAAGTCTTGTGAAAGGAAGACCTTCCCTTGGTTGAGGAGGATTGGGTTAGAGAACATCTAGGCAATCCTGACATCCAGAAATCCATGGCCTTGATGGGATGCACCCATGAGTGCTCAGGGAGCTGGCAGATGTTATTGCTAGGCCGCTCTCAATCATCTTTGAAACGTCATGGAGAACAGGAGAGGTGCCTCAGGACCAGAGGAAAGCCAATGCCACTCCTGTCTTCAAAAAGGGCAAGAAGGAGGACCCAGGAAACTACAGATCAGTCAGCCTCACCTCCATCCCTGGAAAGGTGATGGAACAGCTCATTCAGGGGGTCATCTCTAAGCATGTGGAGAAGAAGGTTATTGGGGGTGGTCAGCATGGATTCACCAAGGGGAGATCATGCCTGACCAATCTGATAGCCTTCTGTGATTGCATGACCAATTGGGTGAATGAAGGGAGAGCAGTGGATGTTGTCTACTTCAACTTCAGCAAGGCTTTTGACACCATCTCTCATAACATCCTCATTAGCAAGCTTAGGAAGTGTGGGTTGGATGAGCGGACAGTGAGGTGGGTTGAGAAGTGGCTGAATGGCAGAGCCCAGAAGGTTGTGATAAATGGCGCAGAGTCCAGTTGGAGGCCTGTAGCTACTGGTGTGCCCCAGGGGTCAGTGCTTGGTCTGGTCTTATTCAACATATTCATCAGTGACCTGGATGAGGGGACAGAGTGTACCCTCACAAGTTTGCTGGTGGTGGGAGGAGTGGCTGACACATTGGAAGGCTGCGCTGCCATTCAGCGAGATCTGGACAGACTGGAGCATTGGGTGGAGAGGAACTTAACGAAATTCAACAAGGGCAAGTGTTGGGTCTTGCACTTAGGGAGTAATAACCCCAAGCACCAGTACAGGTTAGGGGGTGACCTGCTGGGAAGCAGCTCTGCAGAGAAGGACCTGGGAGTCCTGGTGGACAACAAGCTCCCCATGAGCCAGCAGTGTGCCCTCGTGGCCAAGAAGGCCAATGGTATCCTGGGGGGCATTAAGAAGAAAGTGGCCAGCAGGTCCAGGGAGGTTCTCCTTCCCCTCTACTCTGCCCTGGTGAGGCCACATCTGGAGTGCTGTGTCCAGTTCTGGGCTCCCCCGTTCAAGACAGACAGGGAACTACTGGAGAGAGTCCAGCGGAGGGCTACGAGGATGATGAGGGGCCTGGAGCATCTCTTGTATGAGGGAAGGCTGAGAGAGCTGGGGCTGTCTCATCTGGAGAAGAGAAGACTGAGAAGGGATCTGATCAATGCTTATAAATATCTAAAGGGTGGGTGTCTAGAGGATGGGGCCAGACTCTTCTGTCTGGTGCCCAGTGACAGGACAAGGAGGTTGTGGAGTCTTCTTCTCTGGAGATATTCAAAACCCACCTGGACGTGATCAACACCAAGTTGTTGATGCTTGCGTTTAGGACTGGAGTTTTAAGAGTTCCAAGCTCTGGTGCAGACTAGAGCACATATTTCTTTCTATAAACTCAAAGCTATATGTCCCTTCTGTTACACACAGGAGCAATTGGGGAAAAGTAAGTCATTCCGACGGTTTAAGAAACTCCAGGAGACTCGACCGCAGTTTCAAGGGAGGAAGCTAGAGGATCTGCTTCCTTTGCCCCTGCAGAGGTTGCACCAGTAAGTAACCAGTTCTGAGTCTTCAATATGTTAGTATGAGAGGGGAAAAAGGAACATAACATGTCTTGGTTGCTATGTGAGGTAAAGTTGCATAATGTGTCCGAAAATCAGAGTGTATGGAGCGCCATGAAACAGACCCGAAGATGTGCCTGTAAAGTCGAATCAGTGTATGTGGATGGGAGATGATGCAGAGAGGTAGGTGTGCTTAGCCTTGGCTCCTGAGCCCTTCGTCTAGCTCTTGGGCAGAATGGAATTGGAGGCTTTTTATCATCTCAGTAAGCTACTGAAGTTGGGCCCTGAACAAAAGCAAGCTGTCTCAAGTGCTGCAGAAGTGGTGTTCTCTGCCAGAGATGGTATCGCTCTGCTTTTATGTGGGTTGCTGACCTGGAGCATTGTGACTCTCCTCTCCTGTAGATCGTTGCTTTTGGAGAGAGAGGATGTCAATGAACTCGAGGCAGGTTTGCTCCCCTCTCTGGTTATCAGAGCCATATGCTTTCTTCAGGTTCACTGCCCTATCGCAGTTGTCTGAGCCTGGACAGATCCAATCTGGGTCGCTGCATTCCCCCCTTCAGGCATTCCTCCCCTTTGAAAGGGCAGGCTGACCACACGAGGCGAGTGCTGCATGCACTCAAGGGCTCCCCTTTCTTGGGGAGGGTTTGTGGGTAATACAGAGCACGGGGAGTTTGCTAGGAACCCTGCTGCTGTTGCTATAGATCAAGTAGCTGCTCTTCAACCATGCTGTTATCCACACTAAAGCAAATTTGAGAGATTGAGAGCCTTGTTTCTTTGAAAATAATTCAGTGAGCATACCACAGTCTTTCAGGTAGCTTTATGTAACCTTTCTAATCAGCTTAGCAGATATAAATGTAAGTTTTCTTTTCACTGTAATTCTTTGGACTGTTCCTTTGAATTTCTAAAATAGCAGTATATTTTTTGCTGTCCAACTGTTTGGAAAAATGGTGGCTTTTTAACAGGTCTTATTTTTTCATTAATCATCTCTTTCATGTTCAAGTTTGTTGGAAACTCTGTTACATATACTGCAGGTCATATGACTTCTGCAGTTTTGTAAATCTGTTCAATGTTGATATTTCTCTGGTCATTTCAGACTGAAAATAGTTTGACTTTACTGGGAGAAAGCATTTGCGGAGATCTGATCCTTTCCGGTAAAGACTGGAGAGGAAAGAAGAAAGAGGCAGCTCCTAGTTCTTATAGAAATGCCTTTATTTTCTTGTGTAGGCAGGAAATATATGGTATGAATGCTACCATTCAGACATAAAAAAAAAAAATAATACATAGTTCAAAGAGCAATTTGTGTGTTATTGAAGGCATTTTTTTATGTGAATGCTAAGAGAGTCTCATGAACTTAAGTAATATGTGAGGTTGCTTTTATTGAATCGCCAGGAAATGCCAAAGGCTTGCAAATGTATAAAATACTTGGGTTAATTTAGTTGATAAATTTGAAGATAAAATGAATGTGATCAAAGAATTGTGACCAAAAGCTGCTTGGTTAGACTTAGAGGTGCGTAGCCCGTCTCCTGGCAGAGTGTTGTTCATCGTTCTGTCACTGTCACTAATAGGAGATGCTGCTGTTGCTGGTATCTTTTTGGGAAATAAACCTGCTCTCTCTGTCTTAGGTACAAGCACTTCTTCAGAGACCTGCTGGAGAACACCAGCCCAGACAGTGCTGAGTACCAGAAACTTGCAAGTATGATTCTACTGATCACTTTGATCAGTGTCAGCCTCCTTGCTAATAATATTTGGATTCTCATCTTCTGTCTACTTCCACAGGAAGAAAAATCTTCTCTCTGGGGTTCTGGTGCATTACTATTTCCCTTCTCCATGTTGATCCAGATGTCCCTGAGAACACATTGGGAATAATAATGTGGAATAACTGACTGGGAAAGTGGCCTAGGGGTTAGGTCAGAGAAATGGCAGCTCTAGTTTTTATGATGAGAGTGGTGGCACAGGGTGCCCAGAGAAGCTGGGGATGCCCCATCCCTGGAAGTGTTCAAGGGCAGGTTGGATGGGGCTTCGGGCAACGTGGTCTAGTGGAGGGTGTCCCTGCCCATGGCAGAGGGGTTGGAACTAGATGAATTTTAAGGTCCCTTCCAACCCAAACCATTCTGTGATTCTATTGGTCATGTGTCTGAATTTTCTAAGACAATTCATGTCCTTCATGCCATATTTACTAGCAGTTAACACAACTTGTGGGGGATTTTTTGTGTTTTTACTTCCAAATCCAGGAAATGATTCCTCTGTCTAATGTTTTGTTGGCAAATAAACGTTTTCTAGAACCACAGAAGTGTTGGTTGGAAAGAGGCCTCTGCAGGTCATCTAGTCCAATCTCCTGCTAATTTACTGAATAAATCTGTTGTTGATACTTGGTTTAAAAGATTTGCTTCTTTAATTTCATCTTATCTTTTCACAGCAAGATAGATAAGGCATAATACATACTCATTTGTGATAACCTCAGAATATGCTTCTATAATTCCAGAGGCTGTAAAATCCGTTTCTGAGGTATCTCAGTGGGTCCAAGACATCATTCATAAGAGAGAGAACTCATTGCAGCTACTTCGGGTTCAGAAACTGCTCAAAGGACAGAAGACCCAGGTGTTGACTCCAGGTGGGTCTCTTTTAAAGAATTTTTTAGTAAGGATAAGCAGCAGCTTAATTGCCTTTCAGATAGGAGAAGCTGATCACATGTAGTCAGAAAGTTAGTCACAGGAACCCAAGGAAGTCAGGAGTGAAGTCCTGAGTGAGAATGAGAGAAAGACGTTAAATAATTTTGGAAGAGTGTTAAGTAGCAGTGTTCTCCCTGTGTCATAGATTTGAGTGTCAAGTGACCAAGCATTGTGTTGGTTTTTACCTTAAGTTTCATGGACTTCTGCTGTCACCCTCTACATGAGGAATCTTCTTTTATCTGCATGGTTAAACTGTGCCAGAAATCAGAGTATTTGTGTTGATAGCTGAGATATATAAAGTCACAGTCACTGACACGTGAACCCATCTAATTGGGTAACAGGTTTCTTTAGGACCTCTTGTGTGTCTGAGTGTTCTCTGTGCCCAAAGCACGCTCCAAGCTACATAAGGAATATTGTGAAAAATGTGTCCAGTCTGGGCAAACATGAAATGGTCACTTGGGGCCTCACCGGTGCCCTCACTAAACGCTGCTATTGCAGAGGTCATCTAGAAACAGTGCTGCAGTTGGAGAGGAGTGATAAAGTCAGTGTGTAAAGGTCTCTAAGGCACAGCTCCAGGTACCTGTGAATGTGGTTGTAATTTACACATGTGGATTTTGGAGTTCAAAAAACATACCCCAGTGGGATGGAGGAGAGAATCAGAAGGGTAAAAGTGAGGGAACTCGTGGGTTGAGATAAAACCAGTTTAACAGGTAAAACCAAAGCCATGCACAAGCAAAACAAAACAAGGAATTCATTCACCACCTCCCATTGGCAGGCAGGTGTTCAGCCATCTCCAGGAAAGCAGGGCTCTGTCATGCATAACAGTTACTTGGGAAGACAAACACCATCACTCTGAATGTCCCCCCTCTTCCTTCTTCTTCCCCCAGCTTTATATGCTGAGCATGACATTGTATGGTATGGGATATCTTTCTGGTCAGCTGGGGTCAGCTGTCCTGGCTGTGTCCCCTCCCAACTCCTTGTGCACCCCCAGCCCACTCACTGGTGGGGTGGTGTGAGGAGCAGAAAAGGCCTTGGCTCTGTGCAAGCACTGCTCAGCAGTGACAAAAACATCTCTGTATTGTCAATGCTGTTTTCAGCACAAATCCATAAACGTAGCCCCATACCAGCTACTATGAAGAAAATTAACTCTACCTCAGCCAAAACCCACACATGTAGGAAAAAAAGGTTATTTATCTGAGGTTATCATTCTCAAAGGTGCTCAGTCAATGGGCGGATTAATTTACAATTCTCTTTCCCATTCTCAGAATCCTTTTGGTGATGCTAGCTGAAAGGGAGCTAACACAGATGTGCTCTGTTCATACTGAGCATGAACATATGTGGGAGTGCCTGGACACATTGGGGTAGTGCATTACTTATCTTGAATGACAGAACTAATGAGATAATGTCCTGTCCCGTCCCCAAAACAGGATAGCTAGACCAGAGATGGCCGTTGTTTGAAAGCATAGGGGCCAATCTTTTTTTTTTTTTTTTTTGTCTGCAAATATTCTGAGACATGTAGTAGGACAAGTGTTGAGGGCCTATAGACACTTTTCCATTATCTAGTACAGATAATTGTGATGGTTGTATTTTCCATTAGCTGGAGTAAAATAGGCACTAATTGGATGTGAGAAGCAGAAAAGTAAGAGGGAGCTGGGGCTTCCTAGTCTTGGGCCAGCTTTCCAGAAACAAGCAAGCTTTTGCAGAACTGTTAAGATTGCATCCTGTTACAAGGAGGGAAGGTGAGAAAACATAATGCTATAGATTCGGTGAAAAAGGGTAGCTTTGGAGTTGGGCATCTCAAATCTCGCTGTCTCTGAGATGAGCTGTTCCCAATGAAAAGACACCCTGCTTTTCTTGCTGCCTTCCATGTATAGGGCAAATACATCTTAGAATGTCCTACTTCACTTAGCACACTGTTCTGTTATCCCTAGCTTCCCTAGGGGTATTCCCTTGTTCTCCTTTCACAAGAATTTCCTAAATCATGTACCTCAGGGAATCCTGAACGCAGATCTGTATCCCAAGACTTCCAGCACAGTCCAGCTCAGACTGTATGCCAGGGAGTCTGATCACACCTCAGCCTGAGGGAAATGGTTCCCAGTCAAGCTGTGTGCTGCTGACACCTTCCTTCCATTTGTTCTTTAAACTTGGATTGATTCCTGCCCCTCTCCCTTCTCTTTCTGTTTCTTATTCAGATAAGAGGAGTGGTTCCTGTGGAGTAAGCTCAGCAGGAAGTCAATTGCCTGTGTTTTGTGAGTGTAGAACACTAAGTAAGACACAACCAATAATTAAAACAAAATTGTATTGTTTTCTAAAAAGTACTTACTGGCTCAGCCAGAAGCCAAGGTACGAAAAAGTGTGGCTGAAATTCTTTGGCAGGTGTTTTCCTGACCAGGCCAGATGGCAATACCTTATTGTGGCTTTAAATTTTTATAAATAATCTTACTGGCAGGTATTTTCATAATTCCCATGAGTTGATGGCTATCTTGTACCATAATCCTTCTAGTTAGAGGCAGTGCTTTAATCATTCCATTTTGCGTAGATGCCGTTTTTTTTATTGCTCCTTACATCTATGTTTTTCAAACTTCTTATTTTTTCTTGCTGATGTCTCTGCTTTTTAGTTTATTGCAATTCATTTTATGGGTGGATTACACTGGACCCTGTTCTGTAAGAGAAGATTGATAAGGTTGCCTACTCAGACCTTCCTTCTAATGTGTTGTTTTGTATCCCCTTTGCTTTCTTTTCATTAGAGCACTAATCTTCATTCTGTAACCTGTTAACTGCTGCAGGTCTGTATATAGTTAGATGACCTGTGAAATTATATATTTCTTTTAATTGGTGCCACGCACAAGGAAATAAAATAGGGGGAAAAACAATGCATGTTTAAAGCTTAGGCTAACTTCTATTTCACCGCTAATAAACAACTGGGCAACACAGTTTAAGATAGTTCATGGTATGTTTTCCAAAGGCTTATGTTAATTTAAAGGTATGCATACCATTTTCAAACCATGTTTTTGTTCTCGTTTCTTTACAGACTTGGATAGAATAATATCCTCTTAATTAACATACTAGATTTATAAAAACTTCAGCTTGCTCCTCATATACTATCAGTTTTGGGCTGATGACTGTTCCTGCATGTGTGCTCTCAGTGCTGGTGAGCTGGCCCGTGGATACTCAGTGCTTTCTAGTGGCTGGAATTGATACAGCACCTGGTAACCTACAAGGGCAGCTCACAGTGTTCCTGTTTGTCTCACTGCATCCTTTTTTCGACAATGACGATCTGACAACTGTCTTTATTTCCCTTGCGTGCCTAGGGCGCTGGTATATCCGGGAAGGCTGGCTTCTGGTGGTGCCTTCAAAGGGAGAAGAACTGAAGCGCAGGATGTTCTTCCTTTTTTCTGATATCTTTATTTCAACAAAGCCCTGCCACCCACTGCACCCGCTCAATTCGAACAAATTGGCATGCCAGGCTGTCTACCCGCTTCACCAGTGCATAGTGGATAAAGTGTTTGGCCACACGCAGAGCCAGGGAGGGCTCCTCAGTGTAAGTCTTCTCTTTTCTGCCTGGCAGAAGCATCAAGTGGAGTCAGACTTGCAAAGCAGGTCTCTAGCTGTCTCAACAGGACTGAGATGATGAGAGTGGTGACAATGGTAAATGCAATGAACTAGTCTGAATTAGGGCAACCCTTCTCGAGTGATGTAGGTCCTTCTCCCTTTGTGGTGTAGTCCCTCCTGAGCACTTTGGGGTACAGGTTGCTCCTCAGGTGAGGAGGGTCCAATAAGACTGACATGCCCTCATCAGAGCCAGAGGGGACAGCTCAACAGTCATGTGACAATGAATATGAAACATTACATTGACTGTGGACTGAGCTTATAGAAAACCCTGAAGAAGACAATGCGAAAAGATGTGGGTATTATCACAACAGAGATCGCTTGTGCACCCAATTCCCTGAGGGCTGTGGGTCTTTGACTGGGACTGATGCCTTAGGCAGGGGCTTCAAGTTTAGGTCTTCCTGGGTTGCAGCACCTGGTGGCTGTTAGCTCATTCCTTGTGAGCTATGACGGCGAAGATCTTTGGGTAAGCTCTGATCTGTAGATGGTGGTAGTGGAAGGACCTCTAGGGGCAGCTTGGAATACAGGAAAAAACTGGATGAAAAGCTGCTGAGAACTGTAATTGCCCACTTCCAAACACCCTATTAAGTCAAAGTGAGCTGTCATCTGTGGCCGGAAGGAATGGATGAGACTGGCACTTGCTCTGTACCATCCAGAAGCCTCTGGCTTCTCTCAGTGCCAATGTTAAGCATGCAGGGCTGAGCTGAGTTCAGCGGTGATGGCTCCCCTTTTATCAGTCGCTGCCTTGGCAGGGAATGCCAAAATGGCACCAGATTCTGTTTGCCTTTCAGCTTTCCTTTCCACACAAGACACTGCTGTTGATGTCCAGTGACCAACAAGACATTAATGACTGGTATCGGAGTCTCACAGCTGCAGTCAGGTAGGCCTCTGTTTTCCAGAGGTGGAAGGGGCTGAGGGAAGGGGGCAGAACATAAAGGTGATCATAGGGAGCTGTATATTTGCATGGATTACATGGTTCTAAGGCTGATAGAAGAGCTGAGTCTGGAAGCCAGGATACAGGGGAATTATAGTAAGAACAGATTTCATGTATTAACAGTGAATTCCCCTTTGTTTTCCTCTACAGGCAGCTGAAAGCCTGACCCACCTGAGTACAAGACAAACTGGGAGGACATCCACATGTCCTGGCAGAAGCCTACACCACCTCAGGGAATGTTCCAGGACATATAGTAGGAAAATTGCATTTAGAGGGACTACACACCACACTTGTGAGATTATGAATGCTTTGTCACCTGTCCTAATCTTAATACAGATACTGCAAAAAATAGGGATGCACACCTAAGGATTTGTATATAAAGAATCTCTATCAAGACTTTTCCCCAACTTGGCTTAGCAGCTTCTAGCTTTTCTATACTTTTTTTCCTCAGATGATTAATCTAAGGACAAGCAGAAGACAGCCTGATTTGCTTCCCCTCATTAAATGTTTTTATCCAATTGTCTTTCTAAAAAAAATCAGGTATGTCTACCTGCTCTTTCTTCTGGGTCCTTTGATCAAAATGGGCATTTTGGATAACATGGGTGTAACACTGTATTTTCAGCTACTGCTACAGGGCCACAGCCATCTTCCTCCCTTGACGTATTTTTATCATTCATATCCTTGAGTTTTCTACCAAAACAGTTTGACGGTTACTGTTCCTCCTCCTTTAAGAAAGTGACAGGTGGGCAGATCAAGGGAAAATGATTCAGTGGTTAAAATCCTACCTCTTGTAGCTGATCTGCTGAACTATCTGAAATAAACTGGTAGGTAACATAGACTTATGCTTATCAAACAGCATTCACATTTCTAGTCAGACTCCTAAGAGATTATACAGATGAAACAGCACTTGCCTTTGCCTGCAAGGTATGCAATAGCCTTATCACTTTGAAATGCCACAGTGGAAAAACTTGGGCAGCACCTCTGCTCCTGAAGCACAGGGAAAATCTCCAGAGAGCTACAGTCAGCATTCTTTGTCATCAGTCACTGGTAACATGCTAGGGTTCACTTTATCAGGATAAAAGACCTATTTAAGGAAGAAACACAGATCGCATATTATTTTTGAGTATTTCATTAAAGCCTCAATGTGGACTTTTAATATTGGAAGCTCTGCAGCAACAGCAGTTTGGTTCATCTCTTCTACTGAGGAGAAAACATCTGTTTGAAAAAGATGCTAGGTCAACTGCACAGAGGGCAATTTCAAGGTCATTAGAAACATAATGACTAAGGTCTGAACACTGACTTTTTAGTAGTTTGCCTGTTTTTTCCTCTTCCTTATACAGTGCCACACATCTTAAATTACTCACTGTAATTCATTAAAACAGAAGTGGTACTGTGTAAGTGTCGTGAAGAGAGAATTACCAAGTTCTTTAACATCACTTGTGGTTTGGTTTTTTTGGGGGTTTTTGGTCATTCCATACAGCTAACTCACTACATAAGATCACTTATTTAAGTTTGTGAAACGTGGGAGGGAGGGAGGGAGGAACACAAAATGTTGCTGGGGTTTTTCACTCAGAAGCTACAGCTAGGACTTCCAAGCACGAGCTGTACTTGAAATCAAAGTTTCTTATCTCCCTGTAGTTATATCACTCTCTGAAGAAGTTGTGCTACTATCCCATTTTTGTTCAAACAGAGTAATACAGAGATTTCTTGCAACCCTACACCTGAGGCGCCTACCAAGCTCAGTAGAGATGGCTATTATTCCTGCCCACATTGCCTCATTATAACACAAGTCCCTTTGCTACTGCTTCTTTTCCAACTTACCTCAATGCTACCATCCTGTTTGCATTCAGTGCTTCTGAAATAGCAAAACTAACTTGATTTTCCACTTAATTTCCTGCCCTGAAAGGCTGTACACTAGCTTCTAGAAAACAGTGTAGCTCTGTCACAGTGGAGATGCTGCCCTAGAGAGCAGGGCTGTTGGACCAGAAGATGCAAGAAACATGGTCTTTGCCAGAGTAAGTTACTAATTCATGTGCATAGGAATATAATCCAAATAGAAGCAAACTCACTTTCTGAACAGAGTTTATTTACACAGAGAGTATCAACCATTAGGGCTCCCAGCTTGACTTCCTTCTCTTGCTGAGCCTCTATTCAAACCACAGGAAGAAGCAAGTAAACACTAAGCTTGTGCCCCCATCATGGCAATTCAAGGTTAGTAATCAACCTTCAGACCTCCCGGGACATCTTCCACTCCTGTGCTCCAGGACAGCAACAAGCTGGCCGGTGCACGAGCAGCTCACACCAAGCGCCGTGCCCGGGCGGAGGGGGATGCCTAAACAGGGGTGCCCTGGGGAGCCTGCGGGGCTGCTGCCTGCTGCATGTCCTCCCGGTAACCCTTCAGGAGCTGGTTGAGCAGCGTCTTCTCGGTGTCGCGGCGCGGGCGGATCAGCGGTGGGAAGGGGTTCCCCTTGAGCTCGATGACCGCCATTTTGGCGCGGTCAAGGCCATCCCGGTTGGGGATACGCAGCAGGCGGGTGTAGCTGCCGGGGTGGGGCTGGAACCGGGGTGCCAGCACCTTGAACAGCTTGTGGATGAGGTCCTTCTCCTGCGGGCAGCACGGTCAGCTCC